TTCAGTCACCGATGTCAAACACACACACACAATTATCCAACAAGTGGGTCATTTATTATCAACACTGGTGAACGTCTTGGACAGTGTCATTAAACATTGCCAGGCATCGTGGTGAAATCAGACGCTCGTCATAACAAAGAAATTACAGAAACGGTCACTTTTGTGCCTGCTCGGTTATTTTCATTAAATTTTTTTTTTTTTTTGGCTCAGCACCCTATATGTCTTCCTTGTAAAAACCTATTACAGGGTGGATTTTACAGAAAAACGTTGACTAAAGGCACAATAAATAGTAGTAAATATCTACTTCTATTCAAGATAGACGGGTATTTGTTTCCATAGAAACCAAGACAGTTGCACAAACTTTAAATTGAAACCAAGAACTTCATTGCCTAAAAAATTGATGACCGTCCGATTCCACCGCTATAAAATGCAAAAGGGGAAGTGGAAAGCGGTCGTGTGAATGGGTGACAGTCTGGGACAGACGGCTGTTAAAGCATGTTTGACCGTACCTGCTCAGTTAACAAAGAATAGTTTCTTTTTAGTTCGAATTTTATGGCACTTGAAAAACAGTAAGGTCATACAAGTGCTGAATATTAGAGGTGCTACTGGAGAGTAACAATAAAGACGGAGGACAGATCAGAACGATAGATGTTTGATAGGAAAGAAGGAGCAAACCACTCCAGAAGTATTCTAGTACCCAATCCCAGTTGCTTAACTTAAATGAAGAAATGAAGGCTGCAACAGACACCAGGGCAAAGACAATTTTTGGACTTATTGTGCAAACGATGTCAAACTCAAAATATGAAAAAATAGTTTTTCGTGTATGTAGTCAAAATATGCTAAAATTTGTCTTTCATGTATATTGTCAAAATATGCGACAATAGTCTTTGGTACATGATGTCACGGCTACTCCCACGTTGACCTCACAGAGAATGAAGACCCGAGATTTGCATGACAGACCAAGTAAGTTCCCACTGAGGTACTCAACTGGACCTTCACAGAACTCTTTTTTTGTTTATCCTTAGCCTATTTATATGAGATTGACACCATCTGATTAGTAGAAAAAAGTGTGTATGATAGTGTCCAAAAGTGCATACTTAGCATGACATTTAACTGTTATAGATAGAAATTCAAGGATTATAGATGTAAGTTAATGATCTGAGAGCACGGATGATTTTAGAAATAATGGTGGTGATGAGTGAAGATGTGGAATTGTGTTCAGGTAATATGTTAGTGTTAGTCCTATCTTCCTCTGCTCACAAGGGATGCGGGCACCCTCTATCCTGTTATCAACTGGAACCATCTTTAATGTCACCATCAAGTTCCGAAATGGAGGGCGCAGTCTCTGCTAAGGTGACATTGTTAGTGTTAGCCTATTCTATCGACCTTCACAGGACTCAAGTATACACTGCATACTTTTTTGCTCGGGGAGTCAGTGGCTGATGTCTTTTTCCGTGATGGGCTGTCCTTGACCGCACTAGCCAGAGCGCTGGTGGCTGTCCGAACAGCTTTGCTGCTGCTGTCCTGCCGCTCTAGCATGTTCTCATTACTGGACACAGCCTGGTGGGGGAAAAAGAACCCAAAACTCAGAGTTAAGGGCACAGTGCCTTTTACAAAAACTCTTAGTAATCCGCTCACCAGTTCCAAAAACCAAGATAAACCATCAAAGCTGTGAGTTTATTGCAATAAATGCAATTTATAGCTATTGATATCATTAATTGGATCATTCATTTCCCCATAAGTTTGGTGTTCATTTTACGCAAAAACGTTTAGTAGGAATGGAGTTACAGGGATATTTGAGATGCTGAAAACTTTGACGACAAAACTGGCTGAAAAACAAAGGAATAATGGCCATAGAGAGAATAAGCATTAATGAATGTGTCCCCCTATGACCATAACTATGTAAACTTTCTCAGGGAGATCAATAAAGGTTAGTTCTTCATTCATTTATTCATTCATTTATGTCTTCCTTCCTTTATTTATTCCTTCCTTCCTCCCATCCTCTCATTTGTTTATTCATAGGTATGTACTATCGTTCTCCCTTGCTCTGCTCTACCTGCTGTGACTGAGCGGCGGCTTTCTGCTGACTCAGCTTCTTTTGCCTCTGCAGTTTCCGGTAGACAACTTTCTGTCGCCACATGCGGAAGAAGGCCTGGATTTTGGTGGCTGACAACTCTCTGGTCTTGTGCTCCTCCACAATGGCGTTTGTCTTCTTCTTCAGTCTGTACATGCGGAAAACTGGGAGGAAAAGACAATAAATACAGGTGAGTATTAGTGTTATGGCAACACAAGTATAAAAAGATGAGTTTCAAGAAGAAGAAAAAGAATAAACAAATGGTCGACAACTGCAATTATTTGTTAAGCTGAAACATAGTTTGAAATGGGTCAACTGCACTTAAATTCGAACGCGCCCAATCTCCCCCATCCCCCACCCAACACCTTTTCCCTTCCCTCCACTCTTCTCTCTCACTCCCACCCTTCCTCCAACAATCCACCCACCCATCCATCCATCCATCAACAGACAGACTCACTCATCTGTATACTCTGTGCACTCTCCTCCTCCTTCTGAAGCTCTCTCTTTCTCTCTCTCTCTGTCTCTCCCTCTATCTCTCTCTCCCTCTCTCTCTCTCCCTCTCATACCACCCACCAATAGATCAACAGACTCACTCATCTGTATACTCTGTGCACACTCCTCCTTCTGAAGCTCTCTCTCTCTCTCTCTCTCTCTCTCTCTGTGTCTCTCTCTCTGTCTCCCCCCCTCTCTCTCTCTTTCTTTCTCTCCCTCTCTCTCCCCCCTCTCTCTCTCTCCCTCCCTCTCTCTCTCTCTCCCTCTCCCTGTCTCTCTCTCTCTCTCTCCCTCTCTCACCACCCACCGATACATCAACAGACTCACTCCTCTGTATCCTCTGTGCACTCTCCTCCTCCGCCTGTCGCTGCCTAACCCTCTCTTCCTCCTCCCGTACAAGCCTCATCTTGCTGTAGCGGCGCCGACACAGGAACCGACGGACCTGACTCTGGATCTTGACCGATGCCTCACGGCGCTGGGCCAGGATGGGCTGGTACTTCTTCCTGGTCTGCTGACCCCGAGCCACTGGAAAGGGAAGAAAGAAACATTTGGGGAGGGGTGAAAGAAAAATTGTGGGGGGGTTTAAAGAGAAAAGTAAATGCATGTATAATATATGTATGTATGGTCTATCTCTCTGTCTCCTTTTCACTTTCACTCACTTTCTCTTTCTTCTCCATCTCTCTCTCTCTCTCTCTCACTCTCTTTCTTTTCCTCTGTATCTCTTTCAGTCTCCCTTTCTCTCTCTCTCTCTTTCTCTCTCTCACTCTCTTTCTTTTCCTCTGTATCTCTTTCAGTCTCCCTTTCTCTCTCTCTCTCTCTCTCTCTTTCTCTCTCTCTCTCTCTCTCTCTTTCTCTCTCTCTCTCTCTCTCTCCCTCACTTTTCTGTATGGTGGTGGCAGCATCATGACGCTTCCTGTTCATGGCTGTAAATTTCCGCCTGACCACAAAGCCCCGCATGTCTGTGGAGAAAAGAAAATAAGGTTTTAAAATGTGGGGGAGAGATTTTAGTTTTAATTTTAGTGGAGGTTTTACGGCACTCGCAACAGCATAGGGTCATATGAACGCCAAGGGTGGACGTCAACAGATAAGTCCTTACATGGAATCAGACTAACTGCTCTCACCTCTCTAGCCTCAACAGCACTATATCAGGGAGTCTTCAACATTCCTTAAAAACAAATCATGGATTCAAACCAGGGTCAACCGCTCTATAGCCCAGTACGATACTGACTGAGCTCATGGCGGACAAAACATTTTTTAAATCCAAAGAAACCAAGAAACCAGGGCTAAAGTATTTTTTCCCAAACAATGAACTTAATAATGAAATCATATATCTGTGTTCCTCAATAATGAAACTGACCATGTCTTTAACTCTACAAGGACCAGATTTGAACTCACGCCTCTGTATCATGAGGGCAGCCTTGTCCCTCTTCCACCGCAGCTGGTAGAAGCGTGAGCGAGCCAGCCACATGCGGATGTAGGCCTGGACTCGCACAATCTTCTGACAGACTTCCTCGTACTTCTGAGCCAGTTCCTCCACGTGGTAGTACTTGAGGAACACCTGGTGGGGGAGAGTAACTTTGTAAATTAGAAGAGTTAAAAAAAAGGTGGGTTTGAGTTAGTAAATTTAGTTTTGTGTTTAAAAAGCAAACAAAACATCTAGAATATAACTGTCAATAAGTTTAATTGTAACTATAACTGTTACTGTTTAAGCACCCATCGACACAAAGATCATTTAGGAGGTCGTGTCCACACACAGATATGTGAGATTATTAAACACAGGAAACTAGCAGATTACATTGCTTTAAAAGAACTTGCCTACCCCGAAAGAAGCCAATGAGTCCACTAAAAAACACTTACCTTGGACTTGCCAATGGCCCACTTGCTCATGCCGAGTCGCTCCAGCAAGATCTGACAGCTCTCTCCTGTCACCGACACTGCTTCATCATGACGGAATCCTAGCACGTGGTACCTAAGGTGAACGTCAGTAAGTTTTACAGCATTTTCATCACTATAAAAGCCTATTATCTATATACTCTTATTGCAGAGAAAAGGACGACAAATCTAGCATTTAAACATACAGGCCAACCTGCTATAACGTCCACCTGCCCAAGACAATCATCATACATATGGCAACTTCCAACTTCCGACCTTGCATTTTTTTTTCTCTAATAACAATGGCACTAACCAAGAAGTCCACCTGCCTGTGGCGACCACTTTTCTCCCAAAGACTTTGTCCCCAGTTAAAGCCGTTCTTGATTTTGTAATTATATTACTACTCTCTTACGCCATTTATGTTTAAAACTCGTTGTCCCTTTTAGCTGAGTTTTAGGCAAGTAAATTGCATTCTGGTTTGATGCAGGGAAGAAAAGCGAGAAGTAGCTTTTCAGACAAAAATACTTACAGTAAGGGAAATAAAACTGTTGTATTTGACTGCAGATACAAGCAGTATTACAACATAATTCTTCTCATCATTTTTCTTATCATGGTCGTGTTATGGGTACCAGTATCATAAATCATGTTTATGTTTGTTTGAGTAAAGAGCAGCACATTGACACAAGAATACTCATTTAGTGTAGAGAAAAAGAAAGGTAGACAGAAACAACAAAGGGAAAGAAAAGAAGTAGGACCTACCAGTGGTGCCCCCCCCCCCCCCCCCCCCAACCATTTTTAGGTCAGACCCAAAATCTCTTTTTGAAATTAATATCATTTGGCATGGATTTATTTCATTTTGAGAAGTAAAAAATCTAAAAATAAATCAGCGTGGACATGTCACATTTTGTTCAACGTGTACGGTGATTAGATCGATGTAAGCGGAGATAATCCAAAGTAGAGTTCATCATAATGATAGAATAAATCAAGAGAAAGAGAGAGGGATATTGGGGGGGGGGGGGGGATGAGGGATATGGAGAGCAGCGGAGAGAAAGAGAGCGAAAGACGTATGTGTGTGTGTGTGAGAGTGTGTGTGTGTGTGTGTGTGTGAACAGCACTTCTGATCAAATCAAAGAGAATGGGAGCGAGAGATAAAATGAGAAAGAACGAAAGAGAAAGAAAGACAGAGAGAGACTAAGAGATAGAGACAGAAACACACACCTTCATACATTCACAGAGAGAGAGAGAGAGAGAGAGAGAGAGAGAGAGAGAGAGAGAGAGAGAGAGAGAGAGAGAGAGAGAGAGAGAGAGAGAGAGAGAGAGAGAGAGAGAGAGGGGGGGGAGAGAGAGAGAAAGAGAGAGAAAGAAAGAAAGAAAGACAGACAGACAGACAGACAGACAGACAGACAGACAGACAGACAGACAGACAGACAGACAGACAGACAGACAGACAGACAGACAGACAAAAAGAGAAAGAGAGAAAGAGAGAAAGAGAGAGAATGGAGGGGGGGAATGAAGATTACAACAGATGGAAACAATTCTTTTCCTGACCGCATTGATCTACCTGCCAGGAAATAATCGCGCTTGGAGACAATAACACAAAACTGACTACAGAATTACTCTTCTTTTCATAAAGGACATCAAGCAGGAAAGCAGTTTTCTCCAGGACTACATGCTAATCCACCACGCTTCGTCTGTCCTTTTGTCCCTCCACCCCCCCCCCCGTTCCCCACCAATTCCCTGGGAAAACTAATTAGCTCGTCATTCCATCTTAACGCCTCTTTCTGTGTGTGTGTGTTCTCTTTCTCACTCTGTTTCTTTGTATCTCGTTCTGTCTGTCTTTCTCTCTGAGCGTGTGTTCAATTTTATACTAGCTTAAAACTATCTACCTTTTCTTTATCAATATAGACGGAGGAAAACAAACAAGAGAGAACAGTATTGTATGTGCGTGTGTGCATGTCTGTGTGTGTGTGTGTGTTCCGACACAATAATGGTCATTTATTGATGGGAAAAGGTAAGACACACACACACACGCGCATACACTCACACACACACACATACACACACACACACAAACACACACACACACACAGGGAAAGTAAAGAAGTAGGACCTACCAGTTGTGCCCTCTAACCACCCGCTAACAATTTCCTTAGGTGAGCAAAATTTGAACCAAAAAAAAAAGAAGTGAGATTCATCTCCAATTTCAAGAGTTACATCTCTCACATAAAAGTGAAAATATATTATTAATTTTCACCCTCGATAAACACTGTTATTTAACGGAAGGCTACGATTTTTTTAGTTTTAGTTTTAGTACGAGTTTTACTGCCCTTGCAACACAATAAGGTCATATAAGTGCCAAAGATTAGAGGTATTACAAGAAAATAACAAACACAAAAAAGGAGGAGGAGAGAGAAGGGCAATAGTTTTTTATAGAAAAGAAGGAACAAACCATACCAGAGCACCCATCAACCACGAGCTTGTAACAAGGCTATGACCCTTCAGCCCAACCCCCCCCCCCCCGCCCAAATAGCGTACCTCTTGAGGAACTCGGAGAAGACGATCCTGTGTGAGTAGCCCTGGCGACGGATGCGCGTGGTCTCCAGGACTCCCGTGTACCTGAGCTGTGTCGTCACGCGCGCGGGCTGGAAATTCCCAGGTTCCTTCACGTCATTCGGCTTCAGGCACCTGGACAAGGCGTGATCACGTGTTACAGTTGGACATCCTCATGACGCATACAGGGTTAGGGCATTATTTTTTTTTTTTTTTAAAGTTTGG